ACAATGAGTGAACGGCAGTTTTTTTTTTTTCAAAAAGTCTTCAAGATGCTTGTGTAACCACAGGGAAAATATATGAATACTCAAATATAATTATATGCATGAGATACCATTGAGAGAGTAGCTTGTATACACATTTTATTCAAATTTTTCCCATTTATATTTAATTATAATGATGAACAATTCTGTACAAATGACTCAATGTCTCAATCTCATTGACATACATGTTTAAAAGCTACTCTATCACCTGGCCAGATTTCTTCATTAAAAAAAAAAAGAACCACATTTGGGAACTATTCCTCCTAGGCTCTTATTATAGTGCAACATTGTAAGGGTGGAAAAACAATGAAGATAAAATTAGCCATCAGGAACAAGACTTTTGGCTCCCATGTTTGATTTCCTTGTCAGCCTTCTCATGGCTGTTTCTAGATTCAGCACTGTCATGCTACATATGCATTGTTTGTTTGCCTTCAAATAATTTGGTTCCTTCCTCACTCCATAGCTAGGAAATGCTCTGTATAGCTAGTCTCATCCTCTTTTCAATCTAATTGTTGGGGCTAGACATACTGTGATTTTTTGACCTATCTGATATTCTTATGAGTACTGTCCATGGTACTTTTTTTATTTAAGCTAATATACATTTTTTCAGGGCAAGCTTTCAGGGTATGTCCCCTTCATCTAGCTTCCAGCACTACTAATGCACAAAGTTGTAGCAAAGTGTTAACAAGGCAATCTCTAAGAAAAAAAACGCACGCAAAACAAATGTACTCAGCGAAGGTAATTAAGCTTGGTTAGCTGATGAGATAAAGCAGGGAGAGGGCTATGATTTGGGAAGCTGATGTCCACATTTAGACCTTTATTTTTTGTGTCAAAAAATCTTAGTTTTTCTTTCCTAAGAAGATTTAAAGTTCTCTTTAAGAGCCAAGCCATTCAGGGTTCCCATAGTGTGATCTGGTTTTGAGAAATGGTGTCCCACAGGTGTACAGAAATCTTCTTCCTTATGCTCTTTAATGGTGTGTCTGTGCAAATTCATTTGTGTATGTAATTTCTGTCCTGTTTCACCAACATAAGATCCTTGGCTAAATTTTTTGCAATGGATGAGGTACACAACATTGCTGGAGGTGCAGCTGTATGATCCTGTGATATTGAAGTTCCTTTTCGTGTGTGTGATACTTTTTGATGGATTGATTTGACTGCATAGTTTGCAGCATTTATTTATTCCACAGCCTCATTCCTCTATTTGTGAATTCGTAGCCAGAATGAAGTTTCATGCTGATTAGTTTCTCTCTGAATTTGGGTGGTTACCTAAAAGCCAGCATCGGGGGTTGTTGAAATATTTCTTTCAGTGTTTCATAATTTGTTATGATCGGTTGTAAATTCTTGATTATCTTTCCTATCCCTTCTGGTGCTGGATTGTATGTGGTTACTAGAGGTACATGGTTATTTGTATTTTTTCTCTTTGTTTTGGAGGACATGCTCTCTTTGGGTTTTCAGGGCCATGTTTATGCTGGTATTGCTGATTTTGCCCTTGTACCCTTTCTTATGGAAGAAGTCCGCTAGTGTTCTGAGATGTTTATTTCAGTCTTCTGGGTCTAATCATATATGGTGGTACCTTATGGCCTGGCTGTGTGTGATGACCTGTTTGGTTTGCTGGAGGTGGAAGCTGGAATTGTGCAGATAATTGCATCCATCAATGGGTTTCCAGTATATTGAGGTGTGCAGCTTGTCATCACTTATGTGTACTGCGGTGTCTAGGAAATTGACGTGTGTGCTTGAATAGTCCATTTATAGTTTGATTGCTGGGTGAAATGTGTTCATCAATGAGTAAAATATTTTTATAGTTTAACCTTCTCTGTATATGATGAAAATATAATCGATATAGTGATAGTATCTATATGGCTTTTGTTGTATGCTATTTAAGAATCTGTCCTCTAGATCAGCCATAAACATGTTTGCATATTTGGATCCCATTTTACACTGGAGATAGATGTCATTATTGAAAGTGAAGTACTTGTGTGTTAGAATGAATTCAATGAGCTGTGTAACATCTTCAGTGCTGTATTTGTGGTTTGGTGAGGATGATAACAATCTGTAACATGCAGCAATCCCATCCTTGTGAGGTATCTTGCTGTACAGAGATTGTCCATTCGTGATGAATAGAAGTGTGTTTGGTGGTGATTGCTGCATATTGTTGAGCTTGTTCAGAAAATCAGTTGTATCTTTTAGGAAACTAGCAGTATTTATGACTGATTTAAAAAAAATTTCTACAAGGCCTGAGATTTGTTCAGTAAGTGTGTTCATACCTATTATGATGGGTCTGCCTGGATTCCCGGCTTGTGGATCTTGGGTAGCATGTAGAACTTCTGGATTATCCAGAATTGCACTGATAATGTCGTTGATTGATAGCATTTTAATGAGACCTTTTAATTGTTGAGTGAAATCCTGGGTCGGATCATAATCCAGTTGTTTATAATAGGTGTCTCCCTCCCTCTTGTATGTATTTATTTGCATCCATCACAAACACTGCTCCCTCATAATAATGTTCATCTGTTATGATCTGTGCAAGTTTTTGGATTAAAGCTTTCTACGATCTACAAGATGTCATGTGGATCAAGTCAGTGTCTGACAAGCTACTGATACTGTAAGTTACAGAAAACAAGAAAGACTGCCCATGGTGCAGAACCACAACCCATCAATATTAATCGTTAAAAGGAAAGTGTTATATAAGAGAGTGGATTGGACACATAAGAGAGGTGACTCCTATTGGATTCTATAAATGGGTGATGTGTCAAATCTCCACTCACAAATAGAAACAATGTAAACAAAGGTGATAGCAATAAATCAAAATAAATGATTAAAGAAAATAAAATAAAAATAATGAACTGTAACAAGAAGTCTGCAAATATTCAAACAAATTCCCATAGGTGTAGCTGATGACTAAACATAGGCCACTAGAATGTCTAAACCAAGGCTGCTTCCTCAAACTCAGGCTTGGGGAACTGCCATCTGCAATAGTTAACTGCTTCCCCACCGTCCTATAGCAGAAACACTGCTACAGGGCCATGCAAAATCACGTGTACATACGTGATTTGCATTTCCATGTCGGGGGCAAGCGCGCACCACCCTACCCGCTCCGCTGTTGGCAGCTACAGATGTTGATCACTGGATCCTGGTTGGAGATTCCCCACTGACACTTGGTGATCACTGAGAAACAGTGACAAGGGAGAGACCTGTGTGTAAACAACACAGATCTCTCTCCTGCCAGCAAGGACATGCTGCTGTGTATTTATCTGCACAGTAGAGAAATACACAGCTGCATGTTTCCCTAGTAAAACACACACAGCACACAGTTAACCCTTTGATCGCCCCAGATGTTAACCCCTTCCTGCCCAGTGTCATTAGTACAGTGTCAGTGCTTTTTATTAGCACTGATCACTGTATTAGTGGCATTGGGATGTCAGTGGCAGTTAGTCAGTTCCCACCCAGTGTCAGAATGCCCGTCGCATTCCCGCTATAAGTCCCTAATCGCCGCCATTATTTGTATTAAAAAAAAAAATTCCAGTATATATACCGTGATTTGTAGACGCTATAACTTTCACGTAAACCAATTAATTTAAATATTTTGGGATTTTTATTAGCAAAGACATGCAGCAGAATACATTGTGGCCTACATTTATAACAAAATTAGATTTTTTACATTTTTTACTGGATATGTTTTATAGCAAAAAGTCAAAAATATAGTTTTTTTTTCCCCAAAATTGTCATTTTTTTTGTTTATAGCGCAAAAAATAAAAAACGCACAGGTGATCAAATGCCACTGAAAGAAAGCTCTGTTTGTGAGAAAAAGGACATAAATTTCATTTGGGTGCAGCGTTGTATGATTGCGCAACTGTCAGTTAAAGTAACGCAGAGCCTTATCGCAAAAATGGCCTGGTCAGGAAGGGGGGGTAAATCCTCTGGCGGGCAAGTGGTTAAAACAAAAGGGGAGAATGGCGCCAGTTAGCCATATAGTGTAGAAAGTTCATTTAATTTTAAATACCAATAATAACAAAGCTGTTGCACTCACAACTGTACATGTGTCAGGGCATATCAGTGAGTGTCAGCGTTCATGGAAGGATGGAGGGATTGCATGAGCTGAATGGACTAGATGGCTCAAGCTTCTCTGCACAGAGAGCCGTTAAAGCCATCCAGCTGCTGGGAACCTCTGAAACTAAAGCAGCTGGAGCTGCTGTAATCTCTGAAGATAAAAGGAGCCCCGCACAGCAAAACTGCTGTTAACTCCGTGTGGTCACATGGAATGCTGGGTACACGTTTCAGGAGACAACATGTTCCCTTTTTCAGCCTCAAGCCATGCAGAGGAACCTAGCTCATCCACCTCATCCAGCAGATCCATCCATCCATAGATGCTGACACTCAGTGATAAATTCTCATACATGTACAATTGTGGGTGCAATAGCTTTTTTTTACTGGTATTTTCAATAAAATTAACAAACTACACTATTTGGCTACCTGTTGAGACTGTACGCTATCACACCAAAACTGGATAATTTATAGAGATCCCACTTTCAGTGTTTAGATTGCAGTAGCAAAACAGTCAAAAAATCATTTGGCTCCAGTCAAATCATTTAGCTCCATTCAAAAATGTCCTATAGCTCTGGAATATACTTTGAGATGTGATTTGGACACCGGGTAAACAGCAGTTTAGGACATACAAGCCATTGTCATACAAGCCTGTACATGTTTGCAAGCTAATCACAGCATAGCATCTTACAGCCTACAATACCGTTACTAGTAGGATTACCTAATGGAACTGTTATAGAAGTCAATTTGTTCATTATACATACATACAATAGATGCTGTATGCATTGCCACACGCCACTTTTGACCTCTGCTTATAATACTATCTTAACCTTTTCCGAACCGCCCTATAACAGAAATATTGCTACAGGGCGGCACGGTGCGCAAAATCATGCATATATACGTGATTTCGCATTTCCGGGCAGGGGGCGCGTGCGAGGCCATGCAAAGCAGTGTGCCTACAGTGAAGCACACAGACACAGCTTATAGTAAAACAGCACACAGCCCACAGTTAACCCTTTGATTGCCCCTCATGTTAACCCCTTCCTGCCCAGTGCCATTAGTACAGTGTCAGTGCTTTTTATTAGCACTGATCACTGTATTGGTGTCACTGGGGATGTCAGTGACACCAAGTCAGTTCCCCCCAGTGTCAGAATGCCCGCCGCAGTCATGCTATAAGTCACTGATCGCTGCCATTACTAGTAGAAAAATATTTTTTTTTTAAATCCCAGTATATACACCGCCATTTGTAAACACTATAACTTTTACGTAAACCGATTAACTTACTTGTATGTGGGTTTTTTTTTGCAAAGACATGTAGCAGAATACATTTTGGTATAAAGTTATGATGAAATTTGATTTTTTAAAATTTTTTTACTGGATATGTTTAATAGCAAAAAGTCAAAAATATTGTTTATTTTTTTCAAAATTGTTGGGGTTTTTTATAGCGCAAAAAGAAAAAAAAGACAGGCGATCAAATACCACCAAAAGAAATCTCAGTTCATGGGAAAAAAAAGGATGTAAATTTTATTTGATTGCAGCATTGCATGATTGAGCAATTGTCAGTTAAAGTAACGCAGCACCGTAATGCAAAACATGGCCTGGTCAGGAAGGGGGAATGGAGGGCAAGTGGTTAAACAAATAAAACAGAAAGCAGTCTGTGCTCCAAAAAGAGGCACAGAGCTAAGGGACTGATGCATTTCTCAGACACTGCCAGTGTCTCTTGATTAAACTCTTGATTAAACCAACTTGCAAGGTTCAGCAGAATTATGAGGTTGATAAAGAGGAACTGCTGGGTAATGTCAATCACTTATGGTACAAAACTGTCGATTGCATGTCAACTAGAGGGCACGATCAAACAATTCATTGCTACTTATGAGTGTTATCAAAGACTGTGCCTTGAAGCACTATTAAACTAAAAACTGAAAATGTATTATATTGCATCCTTTTTTTTTTTTTTTTTTTAGTCCCGCTGTGTAGTGAACACACTCACAAAACTAGCACCCAGTGCAAAACAAAGTGGCACACAAAAGTGAAGAACACAAAAAAGTGCACAGGGTGTACGTTTAGTCCTCCTCCAAAGAGAAAGGGTCCTATATTCCATAAGTAGATGTGGTGGCAACATAATTTTTCTTTCTTCTTGCTTTTTTTCCATCTCTTTTAACTTGGTGATATGACCAGTCACACACCTCCAGTAATAGTGAGACACCACTGTGGAGGAATCAGCACAGGACACAGCAGACAGCATCATTATCAGACTGGGGGTATGAGAGTGTTAAATGTAGCAGATTTGAATGCAATAACAAATTGAAGTCAAACTCCAGCTCACATTTTATAATCAGTTACAGCAACCAGTTTTTTTCCTTTTGGGATAAAGGTTTTACATGAATACGTTAAAGCTGATTATTTTAATCACCCTTGCCAGTGGTCAATGGCATTCTGCTGGAACTTGAGCTTCTGAAACACAGCAGACTTGCTGAATGATTTACCAGATAAAAACAGAAGAAAGAAAGCCTAAAAAAAGGAAACTAATACAGCCATGACAGCTAAGAATTGGTACGCTGTAATAAAATAAATGTTCGCTTTTGGGGGTTTAATACTGCTTTAAATATACTAACCTCTTAAAGCAGTACAACACTGAAGAGTCACAGGAAAAAATTTAGGGATCTGATGAGCATAATGTAGAGATTGAGAGGTTAGTACTACAAACAAAGACAAAAGCAGAGCTGAGAATCACACAACTTTATGACTTTAAATCTCATCACTCTACATCTACGAGACATTCCTTCAGTTTTGCCAAGTGACAAGTCTCTACCATCAAGATCTTCCACTCTCAGCCAACAACTTATTTAAATTTGTGCCGACCCTGAAGCTCATAAAAGTCAGACAGTCTTTGCCCCAAAGAAAGCAGAAATGGAAACAGAAGCCATAGAAACTGCGTGCAACAAAGCCGAGGTGGAAGCAGAAGCTGCATGCAAGAAAGCACAGCTAGAAGCAGAGGTAAAATCAGAAGCTGCATTCAAGAGAGCAGAAATGGAAGCTTTTGGGAAGAAACAATGTGAGCATGCCACGGTCATGGCAAGGTTAAAGGTTTTAGAGCAAGCTGTTAGCCAAAGTAAAGGACACAGCAACAACAGACACTCAGTTGCATCATATGTCTCATTTACAATCCCAACATTTTAGCTCCCAGCCACAGCAGTTGTATCCCTCAACCAAGGTCAGCATACCACCTCTCAAGACAATCTGCCTACTCATTCCTCAGTACACTAGGCTTTAGCACCTCAGCAAACTGTGGACATCGGTGTGAAGATAATAGACAATACACCTTACCATGGAGCTAGTCAATTACCTCCTACCAAGTACACTGCCCCACAGCTAAAGCCCAACATGGCAATCAACTCTAAGCCAGTATCAAGTATGAATGCCTCTGCACCACCATACATCCCAGAGTTGCTCAATTTCAGTGCACCCGCCAATATAACTAACTTTGTCACATATGCAAAAGCTTAAACTTGCCAAAGCTGATACCTACCTAGATACCACTTGTGGGGTTAACCCAATAGTCTCCAAGTTACCTTATGTATGACAGGAAAAACTGGCATCTCTTGGAACAAGGTACAAGGGAGAAAATAAAGTTTCCTTTACTCCCTTTTCCTACTTCTTTGAGTTCATTAGCAGAAATGCACTAAAAAAGTTTTTCTCCTTTGGGGAGTCCAACCCAACTCAGTCCACTTTCTCCAAGGCATGAAAGCTCATGCATTTCACATAAAAATCGAAGTGGTCCAGTGTCTGTGAAAATAAATGATGTTCTACCTGCACCTACTACACTCCCTGAAAAACAAAATCAGAACAACAAAATCAAGAACCCAAATCATCAATGTTTCATACATAACAAACCACACCTACTTGGGAAATGTATTGGCTTCAGAAGGAACCCCCTAAAAGAATGTAGGCATTTTTTAAAGAAATTTGGGGTTTGCTTCAAATGCTGTGCTTTCACTGTTATGCTACTGTTCAGTGCATAAAATGTGGCACTGATGATCACGAGCAAGCACTTTGTCCATTACCAGAGAGCCCTACTCTGTCCACAGGTAATCATCCAGAGGCAAAGGATGAAGGGTGGAACACTCCAGTTTCTCTACACATGTACTGATATCTGTGGAGAAGGAATCTGTGACAAATCCTGGGCAAAAATATACTGAGCTTGTGTATACTCCAAGGGTCAACCCGAAAAAGCTGTAAGACTGTATACTCTTCTAGATGATCAGAGTAACAGGTCTCTTGCAAGATCAAACAGGAGATACACCCTGGGCACCTGTGCTGGCATTATAGAAGTTCCAGGTAGGAGAGACACTGGTCTTCTAGTAGCTCCCTTGAATGTCACTGTAGAAATACCATTGCCCACTCTCATTGACTAAAACAGGATTTCAACTAATAGAGATGAGATATCTACTCCAGCATCTGCCTCTCACCACTCTCACTTGAGAGACATAGCTGACCACATACCACCTCTTGATGGAAATGCCAGTATTCTCCTGCTTTTCAGCAGAGACATCCCAAGGGTACACAAAGCTCACCAATGAATCAATATGTCACATGACGTGTCATAGCTCCAACACCTAGAACTAGGCTACATCATTATAGGCAATGCCTGTCTGGGTAATGTCAGGAGGTCTCCCATAGTTTCTTCTTTTTCAAGACAAATGTCCTGCCAAATGGTCGCATTACTCGTTTTGAGCAGTGCCCACATCACTACCATGTCAAAGAAAGACTTTGCAATAAAGGCAAGCAACAGTTCTTCAGACAAGGTAATAATAAGGCCCTTAATTTCTGGGATGATAATGTCAACACCACAGTGTTTGATGTATCAACTAAAGACAATGAGCTGGCCACCATGGAAGACAAGGAGGTCTTAAAAAGGAGTTTATCAGGACAATTCCAATAGCTGGGTGGCACCACTACCATTTCATGCCTCAAGAAAGAAACTACCAGAGAGATGGTGAGCATGGATTAGGACCACACCCAGGAAGGAGCCTGACCATGGCTTGGAGCGGGAGCTTGATGTGAGGGCTCCCAAGCACCTCCAGTGTCCTGCCGAGAAGGGGAGAGATGTGCGGGAAGCCCTGGAGAGACTAGCCAGGGAAAAGGGGGGGGCTTGCCTGGTGGGGAGCATGGACCAAGGACCTCCAGTGTTCCCAGCCCGATGCTGTGTGTTCCCCAGAGCTCAGTGGATGCCGGACGATCAGGTGATCTGCCGCAAGGGAGCTCTGGGAGGCAGAGGAGCCGTCCGGCGTTTCTTGGAGCAAGGGAGATGCTGGCTCTCTTCCTCCTGCACACAGGACCATGGCAGCTGGAGAGACGCTGAAATGGGCTGGGTGAACCCCCCTGCAATCCTCTCCTTGTGTGAGGGGAATGTCGAGTGCAATGCTCCCCAGAAGAGAGTACCAGGAGCCGCCTCACCCCTCACATGGAGTAAAAGAAGAGATGTCCTAAAGTGCGGGAAAGTCTCTCAAAGAAGTTCAATCTCTATTGAAACCAGAGATCTCACAATGGGGGTGAAGTATTCCTGTTTTTCATGTAAGTCCTATTTTTATACATACCAGTGATAATGCAAGAGGGAGCAGTCATTCCCTTGTTCAGAGTGCGGGAAATGTTTTTCATAGAAGTCCAGCCTGCATATATATCAGAGACCTCACATGAGGAAGATGCTATATATCCCTGTTCTAAGTGCAGGAAATGTTTTCTCAGACAAATCTGTGCATAGATCCCCAGATGGATATGGCGTCCCCTGTGCAGAGTGATGGTAGTAGGTCTCTGAAATCCTTGAAAAAAATGATATACTAATGCCAGCTTGTAGCTATATGGAGAATTAAGCACATGAAGGACAGAGACTATACGTTTTATTCTCATGCACATGAAATTTATTTAAGACTGGATTATATATTGCTGCACCATCGACTTATTGAGTCTCTGGTCAAAGTAAAAATAGAAGTGATGTCAATTTCGGAC